GCCTGGGTTCCTGTTCTGGTTGCCCATGGGGGAAATAGGGACAAATGAACTCCCCTGCCTGAGAACAGCTTGGTGTTGGTAAGGGGCAATGAGTCTGCCTTGCTCTGCCAGCCAAGGGCCAGCAATGCTCAGGTGCACTGTGTCGCAGAACATCCACTTTTCAGAGAGAAGCTAATGCTTAATTCAGCATCTCATTTCCTACAGCTAAAACTGCTCCTTGGATATTGTGTATGACATGATTTTTAGCTGGTGATGTCAGAAGCCCTTGCAGTCTGACTCCTGATGGTTGTGTCTGGAATTTGTTCTGTGTCTCGGTCTGCTCTGTGCCGGTTCCCTCGGAGCCCTCCCTGGCTGGTGCTGTGGGGCAGGGTGGGAGTGGGGACACAGTTGGGGCCTGACCAGGGCACAGCATCAGAACCTGCAGCCTTCGAGTCTGCCCCTCTGAGGAGCAGCACACCTTTCCAGGAGCTGGTCCTGACGGTGGATAAAACCTGTTCCTTTGGGGATTTAGCCTCTCGTGCTTGCGAGTGTTGTCAGTTCCGAGTCAGCCTGCAGCAGGGCCCATGTGAGGTCCCTGTGCTGCCAAACCTGTTGTCTAACAATAAGGCTGTTGTGTCCCTGCGGTAGGAGAGGGGAATGTGCTGTTACAGCCAGGTGCACTGCAGTGAGTCCAGGCCTGGGGATCGGCCTGGCAGCGCTCAGGGAGTGAGGTGGTCCCTGCCGGCCTCGTCCTGGGGCACGTTTGTCAGTGACCTCTGTCACCCAGCACAGGACATTTCGCTGCCACCATTTCTCTCAGAAAGGCTTTTCTTGATGCACTTTTAAGCCTTTTCCCACTAGTTGTGCCACTTTTACTGTGGAGAATGGATTATTCTTTTCTACTCCAAGAGCCTTTTATATGCCTGAACTGCTGGTTGTCAGGTCCCAGCCAGCCCTCTCCTCCAGCATATAGCAGTTCAAATCCTTTAGTAGTTTTCTTATAGGTTATGTTTCTCTCAGGTTGAGTGTTTGGGGCTTTTCCTACTTTGATGTTGCCGAGTGGGCCCACATCTGCCTGAAGCAGCACCTAGTGCTCCGGCCGAGGGCTCAGAGCCTGAGTGCAGAGCAGGACTAGTGCAGAGCTCACTTGGGCTGGTTCTGCACTTCTGATCCCAGGGTGGTGACTGGTGGTTCTAAAGCAGCTGTCAGCATCTGCCTCTGCTGGGAAGTGATGGTGGTTGTAGCTCCTCTCCCACTCTGCCCGTGCTGGTAGTGGTGTCTGTCCTGTGGTTATCAGCAGTGCCTGCCCAGCATCTCATGCTCGTTCTGCTGAGAGCTTAGTTAAGCCTTCAGAAAACCTTCTAGAAGGAAAGTTGAACCAATAGGACTGTAATCCTCTCCTGCTTCACTCTCAGTTAAACCGCAATAGGTGTGATGCCTGTGCCTGCCTGAGGCTCTGCATCCTCAGCTGCTCTGCAGGACTCCCCCCTGGTTACAGTCCTGGGAGCCCTTGCAGGGGTTGCAGGGTCTGTCTGAGTGGGTTCCAGAGCTCCGTGGCTCACAGCCTCGTGGGGGCTGAGCTCGCCCGTGCTGCGGCCGCGGGCGATGTTGCTGGCGTCCGCACGCAGTTGGCTTAGGCATGGAAAAGGAGGATTAAACACTTTGTGCTATATTTGTAAGCAGAATAAAATGGGTTTTGATTTTCATTTAGAGCAGTCCATGCAGTGACAGGTTTCATATCCAGTACTGAGATAATTTTATTCTAAAATGGCTTTAGTGAGGTTGATTTTTTTTTATGTGCCTGTTTTTGAGTTAAATCACTAGATTGGAATTGTGGCTAAAAGGTAAAAATATGTATCAGATTTTTGCAGTTAATGGCTGCCAGAGTGTCTTGCCTTTGTGGCTTTGCTTTTGGTTTGGCTTTGCAAATTAAGGTCTGGGTCTAATTGTGGGGGCTGATCCCTAGGGCTGTGAGGAGGAAGGTGACACAGAACTGGAGATCTCATTGCAAGTGACTCCCAGAGTTCTGCAGAGCTCTGTTGGGAGATCCACGGTCTGGGCGAGAAACACCACTTGGGTTTGGGGAGAGCAGGGAGGATTCTTGGCTCAGACTGGGAATTCTGCCTGCAGGAGCAGCCCCTTGAGCAGCCAGAGGGAACGTAAGGGGTTGTGCAAGTTCTCATCACCTAATGGATGTGGCAAACTCGACGGGGTGAGATATTTGCTATAGAAGGTCTTTGTGTGGCTTTAGGAAGCGAAATGCTAACTCTCTGTTTTTCTTTTTAGACATTCTCCATCATAAATATCCTGTTCAGAACTAAAACCAAATCTCCACTCTCTGGATCTTCTGAAGGTACTGGAACTTACTTAAAGCATTAAAGTTTCTTACCTTTTGTTTGCATCATATTAAAGAAACCACAGGTTGTGGTAAAACATGATTGTCCACAGGAAGTGTTTGGTTTTGTTTGGTCCTCTGGCTCCTATCTGCAACTCCTCTGAGCATTATAACCCCGGATTACATGGAAAAATCTCCCAGAATTCTGGCATTTTTGTTCTTCTGTCCACTGAAACAGCCGTTATAAACTGTTGGCTTCAACTTTTTAGATTATTGTGCTTTTTTTCTTGGATAGTTAGAATTTTGTAAGCCTGTTAGAGGTTAAAGAGCATATTCCTTTGTAAAAGCACTGAAAGCCCTTTCAGAATCCCCAAGTCACCTATAATTAAATGTGCAGTGATGGACACTGAGTTGTTACCTGGGTGAAACACTTCCACAAACCCACTGCAGGATCATCAGCCTCACAGGCACAAACCAAAATCTGGTTTGATTGTCGGACTGTTCTTTGAAATTGCCTGTCAGAGTGAGCTCAATGTTTTTACAAACAAAGCATGATGTGTATTGGTATATATATAAACCTGGAAGGTACAACCTTGTAACCTGCTCCCTAGTGTCTGAAACTGCCAGAGATTTGTGAAGTGGCATTTCAGTGCTTCACAGGATGGTTTAATACCTGCTGTGCTTTGGTTCTGCCTGAATTCAGTCTAATGAACTCTGAAATACTTCTGATTTGGTGATAACTTACAGGTGCAGATCCAACTGTGCGTTTATTGTGTTGGTGGAGGCATGAGAAACATGATGATGAGGCAGCAGTTTGTGTGGAAACAAGCATTCATCACTTGGGTCAAAAACGATACATTTATTGGACAAGCTCTGTTTTCATGGCGTGTTTTCATGTTTCCCTCCCTGCTAACAAGTTTCTGTCCAGCTGCGGTGGAGGCCTGGCCTGGTGGGCCCTCAGCTACTTGGATGTCCTGGGGATAGCCCCTGACTCCTGGGAATGAAACTTAGTGATTATAAAATTATTACCCTGGGGTCTTATTCTACATACTTTTCCTCTTTGTCTTGTGATTTCTTTGGGTTCCTGTAGACGTTCCCTAATCCACTGTCAGTCACAGTGCACCCAGTGGCAGTCAGATGGAGGATATGGGTCTGGTGGACTAATGAGAGCTGAACTCATTTTGCTGTCTAGTGAAAACAAGGTTATCCAGCTGGTAGTATGATAAGTCTGATGTGTTTATGATCGTTTTTCCAAAGTAAAGCTATTCCAGATGGTAGATTTATTGGTGTGTATCTGCTGTTTCCCAGCAGCTTCTTACCTCTTGTTTAATAAATAATTAAAACTTTCTATCCATGAATACATTAGTCTAGGTTCTCCTCAGAGGCCTGTTTTGTCAGTAATTGGCTAAAACCTTCCCTGTGGCTCACTGCTGCTCCTCTCACATTGGGAGGTCCATCCGCAGGTCCAGAATCTGGAGCTCACAGAGCACGACTGGGCTGGTGGTGCTGCTGGTAGCTCCCTGGTGGTGGCTGCAGTAGTGATTTCTCCTCTCCCCTATAAACTATGAAAGGACAAACCTCTGTCAGCTGCCCTAAGCAAGTCTGTAGGTGCCCAGTGTGTGTCCTTGGCTGTAAATCGTACCAAGCACTGGTTTGTGGCTCCGTGGGGGCTGAGGGAGCCGAGCGCCGGCTGCACCCAGTGCCCTCACACTGGCAGCCTGCTGCTGTCTGTTCAGGTTGCCCTGGCTGAGCATGGAGATCCTGCTGCCCCCACGGGTGGGAGAAGTCTCACAGTGATCTGCCAGCAGAGGGGAGTTCTGTCCCAGCACTGCAGGGTCCCATGCTCCGAGGGCTTTCCTGCATGACCACTGGGCACTTCCAGCACTTGTTTGTAGTGCTGCAAGGCCAAGTGACTCTAAGCTGATGTTTGAAGTGTGGCTGAGACATGTCCTGACTTAAACAGAAGTAACCTTCAGAGTCCTTGTAGCTTGTACAGTCTATGAATTTCTACACCTTGGCTTTGCCCAGCCAGAGCTGCTGTGATGTTTCCTGCTGGACACCAGCTTTTCCCTCAGTGTCTTATCGCTCTGAATCCAAAACACTGCACTCTACCAGCTACTGAGAGGATTAACTCCATCCTGGCTAAAACCAGGACAGTGGCTCAGCATTCTTGGTGATCCCAGGGGAAACTCTGTGGTTGTAATAAAGGATGCATGCTCTAAATAGTTGCTTCATAAAGACTGCATTTATTGCTTACCCTCCAAGTGAAAAAGTCTGACTTCAAATGGTAGAATGCATGAAATGTGATTTGTCCATGACAGTTGCTCTTTGTTCAGTGTATAACCAGTGGCTATGGGTGGAAGTAACTGGATTTGCTTTGTGAGTAGATTCAGTGGTGGGGAAAAGAGATGGATAGTTATCTTAAATGAACGAGCATAAATAAAGCTTCTGTACTGCTCTTTCATGAATGAAAGAAGTGTGAAACTCTAAGGACAGGGCACAGAGCTGGAACTGTGCGGTTAAAACTGGGTGTGTGAGGGACTTACTGCAGACGAAATGGGAACAGTGGATGCTTGGTGGAATGCTTTTTTCCCTTTTGCTGATGGAAAAATAATTTCAGTAGATTGTTAGTTAGAGAATGCTAAATATTGAGTATAATCTTGTTCTCATTTTGCATTTTAGGTCAGCAATTTGGCTTCCCCCCACGGAGTCTGTCTGTGTCCAAGCCTGTTTGCCTACAGTAACCTGCTCTGGTTGGAAGTGAACATGTCTCAAGTTCAGATTCAGAATCCTTCTGCTGCCCTTGCAGGGAGCCAAATATTGAATAAAAGCCCATCTCTTTCACAACCTTTGAGTATTCCTTCTACTACCAGTTCTTTGCCCTCTGAAAACGCAGGCAGACCCATCCAAAACTCTGCTTTGCCCTCTGCATCTGTTACTTCCACCAATGCAGGAGCAGGTAACACTGTCTGTCAATAAATGGATGTGTTAGTGCTTATAGTTTGGTACCCACCTGTGCCTGAAAAGTCATAGTTATCCAACTGTAGCAGCTTGTAGTGCTTTCTCCCTTTGGAGTGAAATCTGTTTGAGACAGGTAGAAGCAAGTTCTAACAATTAAAAGTTCTAATAGTGAATTGTAATAGTAAAGACTGTTATAAATTGTTTGGCACTGAGTTTCTGAAACATTGCTATTCTGTGTTTTTGCCAGCAGCTTGTTTTGATATAAAAAAGTGTTACCCATGATGAATACCTAGATTTGCTCCTTGAAATGTGCTACATAAGATGCAGACTGAGTGCAGGAGTCTAACTTCATGCTTCTAGCTTGCATTAGAACATGGAATTTAGTGATGCTGCTTGGAAATTCCAAAGTTCAGTGGGTTGTTACCTGAGCTATCTGTTCCAGCAGATCCTTGCTGGGAAGTGCTGTATTGCAGACAACTAAATGCTAAGGCACTGAGATTTCTTTTTGTAATTACAGTTTGCAGTAGAGTTCATAGTTCCCTGTTCATTGATCTGATTTTATGTCATCTTGCAGCTCCTTCAAACATGGCAAACCCCAAAGAGAAAACCCCCATGTGTCTTGTGAATGAGTTAGCTCGTTTCAACAAGATCCAGCCCGAGTATAAGCTGCTGAGTGAGCAAGGCCCAGCTCACTCCAAGGTAAATACCCCTGCGAGTGTCGTACTGCGGGTGCTCGTGGGTGCAGAGGCACAGTGTGTGCTCTGGGGCAGGACAGTGCAGAGCAGCAGAGAGCAGTGGGAAGCCCCAGAGCACTGATGCTAGGGAAGTGTGAAGCTGTTGCCTAGGGACTACAGTCAGTTCCCAAAGTGCCATGTCAGCCTCGAGGTGCAAAGGGGCCAAGTTGGCACTTACCGAAAGTATTGGAATAACATGCAGAGTATCTGTTCAGTCTTTCTGTCATTCTGATTGGAATGAATTAATTTAATTACCAGGGAGACCTTGGCTTGCTGTTGTCTGATCAGTCTGTGGAAGTTTAGGGAAACATCCCCTTCCTTATCCCACATACTGCAGAGCTTTCCTCTGCAGTCAAACAGACTTGTGCTCACCTGTGGCATGGGGTAGCTTTTATGGTGCAATGCGAACTTGACTTTTCTTCAGACTGCTGAAAAAGACCTTTGAAAAACCCTTCTGAGTATCAAAGCAAGAATGGAGCTCTGTGTTCCCAGGCTGCTGTTGAGTGATGTGGGCACAGCAGGTGTCCCTGTGGCTCTCACCTCTCCACACCTTGTGCCTGGGGTTTGAGCCTGCCTGATCTGCTGCCAGCTAGTTATTGTGACACTCTTCATTCACTAACTGGGGAAATCCTGTCGATGTCCAGAGGGCTGAAGATCAGGAGATGACAGGGTTAAGGGAAACCTGGATTGCCATATTCTCACCTTGTGCAGCAGTGACAGACTCACTGTTCTGTGTAGGAGGTGTAAGAACTTGCATGAACTCTGAGGCAGCTCCTAACACAATCTCTGTCTGGTTTTGAGGTGTTTACAGTGCAGCTGACTCTTGGGGACCAGCACTGGGAAGCTGAAGGAACTAGTATTAAAAAAGCTCAACATGCAGCAGCTGCCAAAGCTTTGGAAGGGACAAAATTCCCTAAGCCTACGGCTCGCCCGTCTCGGAGTGAAGGCAAAAACCCAGGTATGTGTCTCCACAGACTGATTTAGAGCACGTGCACTTAGAGAATGCTCCTTTCTGCCTAAGGATGGATGAGAACTGAATCTGCCTCTTGAACAGTGACAGTTGTCAGGTTTTGTGGGAACTTCCTCTTGGTTTAATGTCTGATTGTTGTAGGCAGCATAACAGATACCATATTAACCAGTTAAAAGTGTAGGTTTTTTCCATCAAATCATTCAGCTTGAAGAACCTTGCTGCTTAAGTTACTGTTTTGTATCGTAACACTTAGGGGAATCCTGGAAAAGATGTTTATCTTAATCCTTAAAAAAATAATTAAAAAAGAAGGAACAAAAAAACCCCAAACATATGAGGAACTTGGTCACAGCAAAGAGTAAGCTCTGGGACAGCTCCAGTGTGCTCAGCAAGGGTTGAACTCTCCTCTTGTGCCACCCGAGCTCATTCTTTGGAAACACCTGGTGCACTCAACAGGGAAAGTACTAAAAGCAGCAGTTATTTTGTCTGAGCATCTGTTCCAGAACTTCACTTCTTTTGGCAATAGCTTGGCACCAAAAGCCTTGTACAGGGGTGTACACTGACCTGTGAGCCAGGGCAGACTGTGATGGGAGAAATGACACTGAGTGGCTGTTCTTTCTTCAGTGAGAGCAGGCAGGGAATCAATTCCTCATCTCCTCCACTGCTGCATGGTGGAGTGTTCTGGGCCTCAGTAGCAATTTACCTGCCTTTTCCCCAGGCCAGTTGCAATTTGAAGTGAAGAGTCATAAAAATCCTTCTCAGGTCATTGTGTACAGAGAAATGTTTGAACATTTTCAGTAAGCAAGAGGCACAGAAGGAATGGAGCATATCTTGTAATTTAAAAGTATTTTTTGAGGAAGAGAAACTTCCCTGATGACCACACTGTTAGATGTGCTGTAAATGTAAGGAGATTAGCAGTTTCAGAAATTTCAAGCAAAATAAAAATCCGAAACCAAGCCCCCAGGAAATTCACTTTCTTGCACCGGGGTCAGCCCCAGCTGCTCTAGGCTGGTTTAGTGTGCCTCATGCAGACTGGGTCTCTTGGTGCTCATTAGCAGTTCTGTTTGAGTTCAGTCACTTAAGGTACTGCATGTGGCAAAACTTGAGCTTGTTTTTCCCTGCTGTGAGTTTAGATTGTCTCAGTTCCTGGTGACAGCTGGACAATCCCTTCTGTTCCTTCTCTTCAGACAGCGTAACCCCCACAGTGGAGTTAAATGCCCTTTGCATGAAGCTGGGGAAGAAGCCCATGTACAAACCCATCGACCCATACACGGGGATGAGATCCACCTACAACTACACCATGCGAGGTGGCACCTACCCCCCACGGTAGGTGTGGGCTGGGGGTTTGCAGGCTCCTGTCTGCCCTCTGCCCCCAGCAGCCTGTGCTCTGGGGCTGTGTTCTGAAAGGGGCACGGAGCTGGAAGGCAGGAGGGCTGGGGGAGACACCCACCACTACCTGGAGGTGGGGGCAAGGGAGCTGGGCCTCGTGCTGAGTGTCTCTGAGGGCATGCAGGTATAGCTTCATTGAGCTGATCATTAGCTAAATATTTCTGCCATTGCCTTTCTGAGTAAAAGCAAAAGGGAAGAAAACAGTTCGATGCTTTTCCCGCAACTATTTCAAATTAAAGCTTCAGTTTGAAGAATTTTGTGTGGTCATAGGAACTTAGAGTTCAAACCTTACTGTCCTGCCAGGCCTGTGAAGCACAGCTATGTTGTCTGTGTGTTGTACCTGGTCAGAAATGTGTTCCTCCTGTGAAAAAGGGAATGTCAAGGTTTGTTTCAAAGGTCTCTCCCTCAGTTCTGTTAAATGCTAAATCAAAATTTGGCTGTTTAATATGAGTTCTTTGGTGCTGAGTTGTGGTTACTTCTACCCAAGAGATTCACCCACGTCTGACTTAGGTTTCTGTGTACTTTTAGGCCAAACCGTTTGCTCACTTGCCTCTCTCTCTGCAGGTACTTTTACCCCTTTCCCGTTGGGCCCCTGCTGTACCAGGTGGAGCTGTCGATTGGAGGGCAGCAGTTCCATGGGAAAGGGAGAACAAGACAAGCTGCTAAGCATGATGCAGCTGCTAAGGCACTGAAAGTTCTGCAGAACGAGCCCTTGCCTGAGAAACCAGAGGTGGGAATTAACCTTAATGTTGTAAGCATAAACTGCTAACATGAACTGAGATCTTATTGTAGACTTTTTTCCTCATTGAGAGCACAGGAGATGTAATTCTGTGCAGTCGTGCTGTCCTGCTTCAGAATATTCTGAAGTCTGAACTGTTGTATTTTGAGGGGGAAGTAATTTTGTGTGTTTTATTACTGATTTTTATTTTACAGATTTTTTTATGGGATTTTACTCTTGTATTTTTAAATTAGAAAATACTCAGTGCTTAATAACAGTTGGGCTCAATGATCTAAAAAGGTCTTTCCCAACCTAAATGATTCTGTGATTCTAAGAAGAAATTACTGAGCAAAATTATTAGATTTTAAGGGTAAGAATGACCATTTCCCACACCTTCTCGGGCTGCAAATCTAGAAGCAAGTGGCAGGAAAACAATGCAGTATTAGCTCTGAGCTGGAGCAGGCCCTGCCTGGACAGCCCAGGTTGGTGGTAGAGCCTGTCTGTGTGAGTGGGGGGTAGCTGAGACCTGTGAGGGAGCTGGGCCGTGCTGGGGGGCTGCAGGGTGGGTTACTTGGCACATTCAGAGACAGATGGCACAGCTCTTGGGCAGGAGTCCTGGCTTTGGGCTCAAAACACTCACCCCAGAGTTGCTTCTCTGTTGCCAGCTTGGTTGGTAAATACCAACTGCTCTTTCTGCCCTTAGTGTGGAAGCAGAGGCTGGGGCTGAAGGGCTGTGACAGAGCCAGTGCAGCCTGAGCAGCTTCTCCCCGTGCTCTGCCGCTGTTTGCAGGCAGGTGCTGAGCAGGGCAGGGGGAGGGAGCTCCTGGAGGAGGGCAGAGCCCTCATACTGGAGTACAGGACTTGTGGAATTGGCTTGGGAGCGTTTGGTAGCACTTGTTTTCTCTTGCTGGCTGTTTGTCACATGTTAGAGATGGGTCTGAGCAGTGTGGAGAGAGCTGACAACCTCTGGGGTCTCCTGATTCAGAGGCACAGGTCTGTGCAGAGTTTGGTTTATGCACACATGCAAACTATCC